ATCATGGGGAAATATGAAATAGTGGGTATCCAATTCATACATTCATATAGTTGGTGGGTTAGTGAGTTATCAACCATCAAGAAATGGGGGATAAAAAACATGATTTCACCATCAACCAATGGGATATTTCGTGGGACTATAATGGGTATACAATGGGTATGATGGGTATTTTTGACGCCTATAGCCAATTCATATTATTTGGTTGGTGGTTTCAAACATGTTTGACGGGATGATGATTTTGAACGACGAGCTGACGAGCATCTTTTAACCAATGACTAACTAATAAACCTAGAAAACATGATATAATATGACATAAATCAACTGAATAATATGACATAAATCAACTGAAAGTGAGAAAAAAAACAGCTAAAGATGAAATTGGTTGCAGGATATGTTAGACTAATGATTTTAATGTTGCATGATTGGAGGGTATAGACGTACAACTTGTTCACTGGTTGGGTGCATTCGCAAGGTATACTAAATGGTTTCAATTTGAGGACATCACTGGCCGGGTGTTTCTGATTTTCGTTCACGTGGGTGCCCAGTGGTTATCCAACATAGCAACGGAAAGACAAGTTATTTCCTTGCAATTTAATTTGGATAAACACATTAAAATTATTTTAGATAATATAGAATGCAATTTATCTACAAGTGGTGGCATACAAACTGTCGCTAGGTTTGTTTACCAGAGGGCATTGTTTCTTTTTGTGTTCAGCCCTGGGAATGATTTAGGGTATGTTTAGTAGCAACCCATCTAACGGTTGTGGGGGAGTCAGTCAAACATGGGATTACCAGTGGAAACGCGCATGTGATGATGTTTGTTGAAGTAACTATAGCAACCCTAAAGTTTTCAGGCACACTGTTGTTTGAGGGCTGTAACCATGTGCGAACCTGCCCGAGGGTTGGTCCTTCGGTGTACAACATGAATCCACATGATTTATCATGATTTAACATGCATGAGAACACAGTTAAGTTAATGACAACCCTAGTGGTAGTAACAACAATATTGCAACAGTAATAGCAATACCAATAATGATGATAAACAATATTATCATCATTATCATAGTCACCACCACCACCACCATCATCATCATCATCATCATCACCACCACCTCACCACCATCATCACCATCATCACCATCATCACCATCATCTCCATCATCACCATCAGCACCATCATCACCATCATCACCATCATCACCATCAGCACCATCATCACCATCATCACCATCATCACCATCATCACCATCAGCAGCAGCAGCACCACCACCTCACCACCATCATCACCATCATCACCATCAGCAGCAGCACCACCACCACATCATCATCATCATCATCATCATCATCATCATCATCATCATCATCATCATCATCATAATGATAATATATGATAATAATAATCATCATCATCATGATCATGAGTCTTCAGTTGAATCATCACAACCCCCTGATGTTTCAGGCAGCCATGGTTATTCTAGAGATGAGTTGGCTGCGATGCCCAGAAGACCGGAGCGGCAGGCGCTTTTCAGCGCCGTCTACATGTGGATTGAAGGCGTCTGGAAACGAGACTGGAAATATCAGTTCTTCCTCGGGGGATCGAGCAGGAGCCCTTGGCACAATTGAAATTGGACATCAAGAAAGGAAGCCAGCTGCAGTGTCCATTGATGTGGGCAGTTTTAGAGACACCAAACATGTTATGGCCAAGCTACTTCCCATAAGGGTGACTTGGCGGCACATGGAAACATGTTTTTTTTGCTGTTGTTTGCAAGTATATTGCACTCCTATGTACTTCAGAGTGCTACTGTGGTATCATTTTGTGAAAACTTGTGGCATTTTTACATGGAACATTTCTCCCCGGCCTTGACTCAACTTGACACCCTCAGGAAGGGATGCATTTGTCAGAAGGCGAGGCTTGACAGTCTGCATTTTTCGTCCGGAGGGTTGCTGGCATTGAATGTGTTCCAGTGATTTCCGGCCGTTTAGGTCGTTGACCAAAGTAGAGAGAGATGGTTGAGACTTACATCTTTTGGATGTTCAGTCAGACAGCTATGATTACTATGGCTTATGGGGAGGAACACGACTGTCATGTGATGAGTTGTATCCAGATACCTCTAGGACTCTAGGTTGGTCGCGGAAAATCTTGTGTTGGAAGCCCATTGGGTTGGGTTTTCCAACGTCACCTGCCATTTTTGTGGTTCTGGATCCGAAAACTGCGGATGCCCAGAGATGTGCCACGGTGCCCTACGGGGCCGGCCTATGTAAATTTATCCTATCATGCCACAGCACTTGTTTTTTTTATCGGGCTAAAGCATAATTCTAACGTTTGACAGTATCATACAATATCTATAGCTATAGGGATAAATTCTGATGATTGACGTGAATTACTGTATATAAGACTACTTGTGTATTTGAAAACATCAGAAAAGAAACTATGGTACCCCCCTAGCATAGATATGTGTCTCTATACATATATAGAATTATAGATATATGTATAATACATATAATACACATATAATATAATCAGAGATAGGGCGACAAAAAACAAGAACTTCAAATATTCGCAGCCCGCATGGTGTGATGCTGTGGCAAGATTGCAGGATCGAGATCAAGCAATAGCTTGATAGACAGAGGTTTCACATCTGTCAGATGGACTTGGGAACATCTTGGGTGTAAATTCCCCTTCGCGCTTGCACTAATTGCCACACAGCCCTTGCTTGAGGGGTAGGGATTCTGGCGACATTTTGGAAATTGCATGTCGAATTGGAAAAAGTTCTGGAGCTGCGCGCATGTATTCTTCCGGAAGTCGCTGTGCTGGTGACAAGCACATCACCGTGTTTGGCATAGAGACAATGCCCAGAAACATGTGCATGGCTGTTTCAGTGTCCAAACGGTAAAGTCATTTCACCGGATGCGCATTCATTTTGGTTCCAGATGCGCCGTTCTTGCCGGGTGCTGCCATACCGCTAGCACACTTTGGCATGGCGAATTTCCGATACCTTCACACCTTCATCGATGAAGAGCCAGTAGGTGTGGAGCTGTCTTGCTCCCGAAGCTGTCCCCATCTTGGCCAGAGCCATTTGAGTGCAGATGAGCTCACATCCGTCGTTCTCTTGCAGATGCTCATATCGAAGCAGCGGAACTCCTTGAGATCATCGACTGGGAGGTTGATGCCCAGCGAGTTTACCATCGAGACCGACATCTGGACTCGACTTTGAGATAGATGCATCGTTGCACGAGAGGCAAACTTTCAGTCCTTGCTGCAGGAACAGATTTCGGAGCTTCGGCTATACCATGAGCTTCGACGCCGTACGGCTTGGGTCAGGTAGACACCAGGTCGCAACAGGCCACCTCCTTGAGGAATTCGCAGCAAGTACCATGCGGGCGGCCTGGATATGATGGCGGAACGCTTCAGTAAATCTAATCTAGCTGCTGAAGCTGTATGAAGACTCTTGGGCATGGTGGAAACGTCATTTTGTCCTACCCAACTGAATTACTTTCCAATGCGTACTGCTTGATTTGGAACCTACAGCAACACAGCAATGCAATGATTCTTTTTTGCAGGCAAGTGCAGCACTTGTGTCGCATTTGGAGTTATTAGTATATAGCAATGTATTAAGCATGTTATAAGTTACAATAATCTCCACAAGTTGGGCTAAAATCCCTATAGTATCCTAGAAGACCGGTGATTCTTCATTTTCTAGGTTCCAGCACAGCACAAGTCTGACTTCACTATTGATGACCCCGCGGGCGCAAAAGGGTGAGCGGTTTGATGCTTTGAATGCTTGGCTGCTGCATAAACACGGCAACCCATCCATCTGGGCAAGATACCGAAGAATTTTGGGCGTCATGAAGACTATATATATATATCATATATATGATTATAATATCCTTCAAATTAAAGAATGGTCTGTAAATAGGGTAGCTCCAACTCCAGTGGTGCAAAAGATCCTTCATCTTGGGAGACACAGATCCCACTGTTGGTGATACTCACCATTTCACAATATCACATTATGTAATGCCAATTTGGATATAGTTATATAATATGCACATATCTGGGTATGAGATCAGAAATTATACATATATATACATATATATATAAATATGTTTCATAGCTAGTCATATGTTGTATATATATATATATATATACATTGTATATATATATATTGTATATATATATATATATTGTATATATATTGTATATATATATATTGTATATATGGTATATATATATGATATATATGGTGTATATATATATATACATATTGTATATATATATGGTATATATGGTATATATGGTATATATATGGTATATATGGTATATATGGTATATATGGTATATATGGTATATATGGTATATATTGTATATTAATTTGCATAATATGTATCTTGTACAATATATATATACATACACATAATATATTTTAATGTACATGTCCAGGTCCGTTTCTGTCCTCTGCTGGTTCCAACTTGCGTCATGATCGAACATGCCACATGGCCTCTGCAGGGCGATGCTACAGCAGGAGGTGAGAGATGCAGATGCCCAGCTAGAGGCTGGTGGATGGCTTGGGTTATATCCCCAATGATATTAATGGAATACCCGCTCTGGATTATGGATTACTGTATATAAGTATATATATATATAATTTATTTATTAATAGACTATGGACCACGGATCCGAAGTGGGGCTCGCACATTCAAGTAGAGACTAACATTAAAGTGCCATTCCAGTTCATGTGTTTTCCCATGAGGCTATACAAACCATATCCCGCTACCTTAGTTTGCCTATTTGGTGCCCGATAGTATCCCTACGGTCATCTCTCGCTGGAAATCTGCCACAGAAATTGGTTCTCGATGTGTTACTTCTATTCTCCGTAAGAACGGTTGTAACTTGTTTCCTGTCAAATCGTACCACTTATCTTACTTTGGCTTTGGTAAAATCAATTCAACAAAACTGTGCGCTTAGGTTCGCCAATCCCAATGCTGTGCTTGCCATCCTTCTCTTGGCGTGCTTCCCGATTTAAACCTTCTTGCTGCTGCGGATTGAGTGCATGTCTTTCACGTAACATAGTCCAACAACCCTAAGTGGTCGTCTTGAACCCTGTCGTTGTGTCATATACATGCATGTATGTGTATATATATATATTATATCATGACTGGAGTATTTCATATGGTTGTTTCCCACTTGCTAACGTTACCAACTGGGATGAACATCTGAGCAGGGCACTGTAGTTTTGCTTTGTCTTTTGGATTGAGATTCTTTTAAAAAACACATTTACTTTTGCTTGAATATTTTTTGTACTACTTTGAGGTCCCTGTTTAGATGTGTTCATAGTTTGTTTGATGTTGTTATTTCAAGATTTTTGCGTGGTTTGGCTTTGGTGATACTTCTCTGTTGGTGCCTTTGTTTGTTGCCTGGGTTTTGTTTGCGGCCACAGGAGATTCAAGCACAACGTCAGGCTCAACGTCATAGGAAGGAGAGCTTGGCAGATCCAGAAGCACAAAAATGTCAACTCTGGATGAATCAATTGGTAGATCAATTAAGGGTCACCAACATGACAGAACTAATCCCTTCCCCCCAATACTAAACGGTCCCCCCCCCCCAAATAATAAACACCTGGAGGAGTTTGTAGTAGGGGGAATTTAGTATTAGGGTGCGAAGCTTCCTCCAATACTAAGTTAAAAAACCCTAATATAAAAAACTAGTTTTTTCTATTTTAAAATAGATTAGATTTCCTTTGACATCTAATTAACATATTGCACAAAAACTTGATTTCGAAGCCCCTAATCTTAAATTAAAAACCCTAATATAAAAAACAAACAAAAACTATTTTAAAATCGATTAGATTTCCTTTTAAAATCTACTTAAAATATTGCCAAAAATTGGTTTTCGAAGCTTTCCCCTAATATTAAATTAAACACCTTAATATAAAATACTTTTTTTTTTCGACCTTGAAAGACAGACCCTATTAAAAAACACACCGGGGTTGACTAGTTTTGATTATTAGGGGTGACACCCTGAAATGGGACCTTCATTTTCAATTTGTTTTCGAAAGGGGATCAATTAAAAATCAAATTGGCCAGTCTGAAATTTCCCAAAATTTAACGCGGACCCTAGTTTTTAGTGTTTGGGGTACGTTTAGCAAAAGGGGAAAGGGATTGAAGCTGTGGATCAAACAGTTACAAATGGGTCTTAAATCGAACACCCCAGATACAGCCGAGGGTGGTAACTAATCTGGGGTTGAACGTTTGGATTGAACGTAGAGGTAGCCATCCGAAGAAGTATTGTAGTGTTGACCCACTGCATTCTCGATCACCGTTTTTTTTGCCGGTCAACCATGATTTCTTGTTGGGTCAAAATTTCCACAGATTGGCTGGTCCATTTTTCGGATCGTACACCATCCCGTATCATCCCTTAAATTGGTTCGTTTTGACCCACGATTATCCCATGTACCCCATCTCTTGTCAGTGAATTTGGGTGAACTAATCGCTGCAGGACCTTGAGAGGCAAGACATAGAGAGACGCTTCAAAGAACATCACGCCTCATTGGTGCTTGAAGCTAAATCCCTGCAGGCCAGGGATGGGACTACCACGGGGGGGGGGCAGAGGCGGACGTGCCAAGGTTGGCCTTTGGTTGCTTATGTTGCTTTGGTCAGGTCAAGATGGGGGCCAAAATGTTCCTGGCAAACATACTCTAAAGTTTGGTGTCATCACTCTGAAATATGTACTGTGAATATCTGTGTATGTATATACTTGTATATATATAATATTATATATGTGACATATATAGCTTTTATTTATTTGCCAGATGATGATTCAATTTATACTAGTACATTGGTGCTTGTCTTGTTTTTGTTTCTCACAAAATAAGTTGTCCTAGTTCTATCATCATAATCAGATTGTTTGAACATTGCATTTTTCTACTGGTCAGTCTTCAACATTATTTTTTTCGATATTCAAGGTTGGTATCCTTGCATAACATCCCTGCAATCATGTCAAAGGACCAACTTCCAAGAGGGGGTGCG